ACTGAATCAGAGTTGAATGACACCTAATTGCAGCACACAGCATGACTGCAAAAGGCCTCAGGCACTCAGGGCAAAAAATTGCCTCTACTGAAGTCAAAGATCTTTGCAACTGCTTTCAGGAGTCCCAGGGTTAAGAGCATTATGGTTTTCATAGTATTCTTAATTTTGGTCTGGAGCACAGACTCTTTCAGCCCCTGACATTTCAGATCAGGCTATGTAATAACCATCCTCCAGATAGTTACATTTAGTCCGAAATGGTCCTGAATTTTAATAATCCTAGTTTAAGATAGGATTTATCAGTATTACTATTTCTTTCAGTCACACACTGAATCCCAGCACAGAAGCTTCTGTATGATTCACTGGCACTGAAGTAATGGCATTTACACATAAACAAGGAGAACACGGGAAGATGTGATGTAAAAAAATCTGTAATATTTTACATAACATATGTTCGCATTTTCACATGCATCTAGGTAAACAGGAAGCCCACGGTTATTTTCTTGTGAGCTTTAGGTGCTTAGAGCCCTGAACTGTGCTGAATTTTAAAAATGGAAATTCAGATGCCTATGTTAATAAATAGAGCAGATTCTTTATAAAGTGGTTTAGGCTTCTGACTTCACATGATTTCAAAGAGATCTGTGCAGCCAAACAATTTGGGTATCTGTGTTTCATATTTAGCCACAAGAATGTTGTAATCGTCAAGAAATCTTTTCAGGTCTTGCTCCTCAGTGTTGGTCTTATGTTCATAAAATGACATTTATTTTTGCAAAAAATGAGACATATTAAGATAGAAATTCCCCACGCTGCTTTGAAGAGACTGTAAAAACCATGCGTTTACTGGGAGCAGAAGGCAGAAGCAGGGCCTCCTAAGAAGCATGATTTCAGGCAATATCGGGCCAATACTCTACTGTATCTTCGGGGATTAGAATAGAAGTGACTAAGGCCAGGTCCATTCAGTTATGGTATTCCTGGTATAACTGGAAGGTAATGAGTGTGAGACACTAAATTTGCCCACAGCATCCTTGCATTGATTCTGCTTCTAAAAAGCCTTTCCATCTTTTAAAATACAGAGCCAATTGTAATATTCCAGTACTAAAATGACAGATGTAATTCTTCTAGTTATATTAACTTTATTTAGCTATTCTTAATTTTATATAACTTTAATTTATCTTAAAATAAAGATGTATACTTTTCAAATACAATATTCCTTGACATGGCCCAGTTCATTTTTTTTTTTCATTTTAGAACATCATATTTATACCATTTGCTTACTGACCTCTCACATCAGCTTTTAAAGCAGCTTTCAAGAAGGTAACTGATTTCATGGTTCAGAGCAATGCTGATCCTTCAGAACAAAGGTTTGAAGCCAGAGATAGTTGGAAAAATGCAGATAGCGTAAAAATATAAATATATATATATCCCTCCCACAAAAATACCATCTCTTCAGGTCAGAACAGAATAGTCATTCTTTAACACTTTGTATAGAATTTAAGAAAACATCCCTGAACCTATTTGTTTTTCCAAGTTCATACCCAGCCATTTCCCTGCAGGCTGATTTTACACTGTTATTCCAGTGAGTGACGGTGTCTTCAATGAAATGATCTGTTTCTTTGTGCTTTAGGCTTCCTCTTGGCCCTGGAGTGTTACTGTAATATGAAATATGATGACACATTTTTCTTTTATAGTGCTCTCCATATTGGATGTATTGATAAGTAGGTGTAAAGTGTCTCTTCTGTTTGCTAGCTCCTTTGTCAGCTGCTGTGGACATACCCTTGACTGAAAACTCCCCTTGCCCAATCAGATTGCTGTGCCAGTATTTTCCTTGACATACATATAATAAAACTGTTGTGCTGACATCCTGGGTAACGTTGACTTGTTACTGACCAAGAAGCGGGTGGAACAGCAAGGCACAGAAAATCCACTATACATTCTAACATTTAGGCTTTATCCTTTATTAGGTAGTGAGTAAGAGACATAAAAAGAACTGAGTTTGTTGTTTACAGCTGAAATTTAAGAGACTTGTGTGAACAAAAACTTGTTCCATAGAGCACTGTGACAAAAGAGGTCCAAGAAAACTGAAGGTGCCATTGCAAATTAGCTGATGTAAGCAGTTGGAATGACACTCTCTTTATTTCTAGCAAAACTTGTATTAACTCTGTCCTTAGTACTGTGCCTCCATACATGCCACAGGCCATATTTTGGCAAGGATCAGCCTGTTGATTTTGATGGCATCACAACAACATGGCAGGATGTGCAGCAGGTGTCCATGCACCAGAAGGCCGTGCATAACAGCCTACAGGATATTTGTGGGTCTCCCCTTTTCTCATCTGCATGTTTTTTCATAGAGGAAAGATTGCCTGCCCAGACCTTCTCCCTTCCCAAAATGCCAGTCCTCCTTTGCTCATTTAGCAAGCTCTTACTTACACAGGCTATTACAAAAGGCTCTGGAGATAAATGGTGGTTCATGGAGCACAGCTTCAAAACCAGTGCCCTGTTCAAGAAGGAATCTGAACAGAGCTGGCAATGGTACTGCAACTTCTGCAAAAAGATGGAAGGTTGAAAGCAGGCTTAAAAGACCAAGGCCAAGGTTTTGCAAAGAGGAGTTGAACCTTACTACTCTATATTTATGTACCCAAATAAAAGGAAACATTTTCTAAATTGAGGTTAGGCGCAGGTTTTGAAGGCTGGCCTGTTTACTGCCTCTTTACTGGGAGCTGTAGAGTGGGGAGCCCTTTTAAATGTCAGCCCCTAGTTATTTAGGTGCCTAAACTTGGCTTCAGGAACTTACTCATACTCTTCTTGTTTTGGAAATCGGGCCAAAGTAATCCAGCTAGTAACCAGCCCTGAAATCACCATCACATCTTTTTCATGGCTACATAGGAGTGAATTAAATATAAGCAAAAGCCCATTTCATTTCAAGGCACAAACGTTTGCAAATAAACTGGATGAAATACAAGTACCTAATATAGAACTTATTTTAATACTTCTAGATAAATAAATGCATCTCTTTGGAATTCTTTGGACACAGACATCCATGGAACCTCTTCTTTCTCTCTTTTTATATATTTTTTTATAAAATCTAAATGCAGAGAGGTTTAAAAAATGGCAAATACCAATGTATATGGAAGGCTCACTGATGAACTGCAAGTCAAAAGTGCTGTATATTCCCATCCTCTATATCTCCCAACTGTCCATATTAACCACAGGCAGTATTATATAGCAACCACATGGTCAATATTTTGCATTACTACCTTGTAATAAAATCTTTCAAATCATTTCCCCATCTAAACTTAAATTATGTTTTTAAATTTTATTCCTCCTAAATGTATGGTAGGCATTCCACTTAGCTACACATCAGAGTGGTCGCATGTGACTCAGCAGCGCACTCCATAATATTAATAGATACTTTTCAGCTCCCTATGGGAAAAAGCAGGCAGCAAGAATCAGATTCAAGAAGTCTATTTTTTCTCTGCTGTTTGTTACTTACCACTTAATGACCCACATGTGAAACTCAATGGTTATATAATTATTTTATATAGTAGATTTTCTGTTTATAAGTTATTTTTCTTACTCTAACATATATACAATATATCTATATATACCCCTGATAAATCTTACTTTAAAGGGACACAGTCAACTCCTTTAAGCCTCACAGTAAATATATAAGGCTTTAAGCTGTCCATACATAAAGGTCAGCTACAGAATTCAAAGGTCCCTTCAGATCCTAAAGGTTGTACTTGTTCCAAACCCACGATGTGCAGTTATCTTGTAATATGTATCTCATGTGTTGCTGTTTACATTTTGTAGGTATATTAAGACATTTTATATCACATCAGTAGGAAATAAAACAAGAGAATAAATCTGTTTCTAAGACTAAGCCTATTGCAAAAAATGTTACCTGTATCTACAGACACTCCCACTGGTGTGATATAAAAAGAATATGTGCCATTCTTGGGATGAAATTCTGGCCACATTGCAGTCAGGAGGAACTTTATACTGACTTAAATGGGGCCAGGATTTCTCTCCTGCTTTTCATTTGCTAGTTATGACTATGCGTAACCCATTTGTGTCTTCCCTCTGCTCAACACTAAAGTGTCAGGCCTGTTTCATGACAAGAGTGTAATTTTTGCTGTCCACTGGCATGCCTTAGACATTGATCTATCCTGTACGTATTACACCTTTTGAATATACACACACTGTACACATACGTTCTCAGTTAAATAAAAGTTTGACCTATTCTGTGTACAGCATCTGAGTTTTTTTTCCCCTGCTAAATCTTCTTTATCATTCACTTGATCCTAAACATAGATTATCTTCAAGCCCATTCTTCTATGGGTGAGGAAAACAATTTTTGCTCACCAGGAACAGCTCCACATTATTGTCATAATTTTTGACTGCTTACCAAAGTGACATAATTTGTTCATTTTATCTTTTGCAACTCAGTTAGAAACCTAGTGGCATAGATAGAGACACAATACTACTGTTTTACAAGACATCTATTGTATCTACTTTTGTTCAGATAAATACCCAGTAACTGCTGATTTGGCAGGAGGATTGGTAAGGGTACTACTATTCACAGTGTTTCTTTTTTTTTCCTTCTTCTTTAATCTACAGAATAAAGTATTTTATATACATTGGAACCAGTTAATGCCCTTTAGACAAATTTGTAAGTTGTTTCATAAAGCAGGAAAGACATTGCAGGGAAATACGTGCCAAAAAGCACAGTCAAAAGGCTTCATAAGTTTTATATGTCACTACAAGTCAATGCTGGAGATCAGTTCTAAAACGATCAATACCCAAGAGGAATGTTCTCATCTGGAGAAAATACTGCCCATTCCTCCTTTTAGAATTTGTTCAGTTCTCTATCAAAAGTCCTGGCTCTTCATATATACTTTAAACTATAAATAAACACTGCATAGTTCAATGTTCTTGGTTTTCTTTTTTGTTCGTTTGTTTTGATTTGAAAAATTATTGCAGTACAATTAATTCCTGTTTGGAGTTCAGTAAGGAGCAAACAGCACAGGAGTATGGGTGGTCCGTATAGGCCCTGGAGCTGGTCGTAGAAGTGCTGGAGGAAGTGCTGAAGTCTGGAAAAGGGTGGCTGCTGGGGCTGTGCGAAGACTGAAGGGGGAATTCACAGCCACAGCAGCAGCTGCTGCTGCAGCTGCTTGGGGGGTTTGGAAGAATTGTGGGGGCCTCGGCCTTTGAGGG